AGGCAAAGGGAAATTTCCACGCCCGGGTGGCACTCGTTTGTGCAATTCAGTCTGGTTCAGATACTCGGAAGCACGGCGATGGTTGCGTCAAACACTCAGCCAATCCAAAAAAAACCTCAGCTCTTCCTGTGCTCAAACCCAACCCAAGCAACAGAGCAACGGCTCTCGGCCGCACGTTCAAACCCAGCCAGGTCACGGAAACAGCTTGCTTTACAACCCTGACCAGGGAGGGAGGGAGGGAGGGAGGGAGGGAGGGAGGGGAAGGAGGGGAACGAGGCTAAGTGGGGAGGATGACTAAAAAAGTGGACATCATATGCCAGTGGTCACATTCACAGCAAGCGTCATCCTATAACCTTGTCGAAAAACACCAACCCTTTTAACCCCCCCCCACCACCCACCTCCTCGAAGCAGGCTGTGAGCGAGAAAAAAAAAAGCCAACCTCAAATTCAAACTGCACTAAAGTTGCTGGTGCTTGGTTAGGATCTGGGCTCTCCTTTGAAGTGTTGCCCTGAAGCGGATGAGAGAAAAAAAAGAGCCGCACTGTGAGTTTAAAAATACAACGATAAAAGTCCCAGCCACTTGACGGGCAAAGTCACATTGCACGGAGATATCGACATCAAGGAAACGTGATGTTTGCCGTTGCCATTGGCGCAAGTGATTACAAACCCGCTTTTTTTAAAAAAAAACACACACACACACACACACACACACAAAAAGGATTCAAACGAAATGGGCGATATCTTTCAAACCGAAGCAACGCAACACCGGGCTGAACAGGGCGCAAGATGCCAATCCCCACGCTATAGACCGCAGAGAGCGGTGCTGAGACAGACAAAATAACCGAAATAATCCTTGCATTTGGCGAAGCGCCTTATCACGTTGTCGAGACCTCTCGAAGCGCTTCAGGGGATTTTTACTGCAAAGTGATGCGAACCGCCCGTGTATTTGGCGGCATGCCATTTCCACCACCCCACCAAAACCCAACGCTCAACCTCGTGCTTGCCGCCCGCGGGTGCGAAACAGAAAGCGGCCGGTCGGCAAGAGCAAAGGTACTCTCAGACACCACCGTCTTCTGGATTGCTGAGGAGCATCGCAGGCACAGAGAGAGAGAGAGAGAGAGGGAGAGAGAGGGAGACCTGGGGGAGTCAGCTGCCTGAGGATAATGTGTATGTGGTGCGCGTGGGTGTGCGTGTGTGTGTGTGTGTGTGCGTGTAAGGAGACTTTGACCCAACGAGCTGCACATAATTCAGTGCCCAGCCCAGCCCAGCTCGAAAAAGTTTCCTCCGCCCCCTGGTTTCAGCTGCCGGCGCCCTGCCCGCAACTGGCACGAGCTGCCTCCACGTCTCCCGGGCGAGGTCGGGCGACTGGTGGGAGAGGGAACGCGAGGGAGGGTGGGGTTCGAGCACCGCCTGGCGCCTTGGCCCGGAGCTATCTACGTCCGGGGGGGAGGGGGGGGGGGGGGGAAAGAAAATGTCATTCCTAACGCTTGCCACGACATCCCTAGTTTTGTAACAAGGCAACTTGTTTTCAAAAAACAAACGTCCCGTCTTCCCTTTTATTTGTAAACGTGCAATGTTACGCTGTTGCGCTGTTGCGCTGTTGCTCGTCTGTTTCAAGACTCACTTCGACCAAAAAACTAAGGTCTGAACCGAAAGTGGGCACCGCTGCCCCCAGATCAGTTCAGCCCCTGAGCCACCCCCCACCCACCCCCACCCACGCCCCCCCCCCCCGCCCGGCCCCAACTCAGCTCCAGCTCCAGCTCAGCCTCAGCGCAGCTCAGCTCATCTTAGCTGAAGCCCGGCTCAGCCTCAGGCCAAGTTCAGCTCAGTTCGGTTCCAACCCAGCTCAGCCCCCAGCTCAGCCCCAGCCACAACTGAGCCTCGGTTCAGCTCAGACCCAGCCCCCAGCTCAGCCCCAGCCACAACTGAGCCTCGGTTCAGCTCAGACCCAGCCCCCAGCTCAGCCCCAGCCACAACTGAGCCTCGGTTCAGCTCAGCAGAACATCTCCCCGCAAAGGCGCAGTCTCCGACAGAGCCCACACTCTTCACTCTCCTTCCTCTTCCTGAGAAAGGACAACATCTTCTTTTCCTTGAATGAAGCCACAGACAAAATGGTGCCAAAAACTTCAGCAAAAGCCTCTAATGCAACAGTTTAATATTAACATTGGATGTGCAGTGTGTGCAGCCTCTGCTCCCCAGCAAACAGCCACAGCTTTCTATTCCCAATCCTTCCTCCTTCCCCCCCTCTCTCTCTCTCTCTCTTTCACCCTCTCCCTACTCCCTTCCCTCTCTCTCTCTCTCCTTCTCTCTCTGTCTCTCTCTCTCTGTCTGTCTCTCCCACAAGTTTCAGATCACTTTTTGGGGCAAATCAGCAGCAACTTTCAGAGAGACAGAGAGAGAGAGAGAGAGGGATGGGGGGGAAGTAAAGGCAAAATTAAACCTCAGTGACTGTTACAGTCTCCTGGAGAGTCTCCTGATGGTCACAGTCAGACCCTAAAGCA